GCGTGTATGTGAAGAAAGTCAGACGCAAAGGGAAAATCACACGTGGGTGCTGTGATCCATTCCTTCGACGAAATCCGATTTGATCATGTCTCGTCAAACTGCGACGAGGACGAGCGCGAGTCAAACACCCAGAAGGAAAAGCCCCGACCGTCCAGTACAGCAGACAGCAGACAGCAGACAGCAGACAGCAGACAGCAGACAGCAGACAGCAGACAGCAGACAGCAGACAGCAGACAGCAGACAGCAGACAGCAGACAGCAGAAAGACAGGACCCAGACGCGCTATGATCTCCTCAGTGTTCTAGCTCCCTCGCTCTTCTGAAACTACCGCACTGGCGGGACGGGGCGTCGTCCTCTGTTCAAGCCCAGATCTTGTGTTTCCCAGCGACGGGACCAAACCCTGGGTTGGTGCCTCGACTGCGTTGTTTGTTTGTTGTGTTCGAGTAGTTCGTCGGGACCGACTGCAGAGCAGAAAGCGGAGGCCGATGGATCGGTTCCTCCATCAATCTGTCGTGCATCAATGGTTTCCGTCCTTGCTTCCCGCGGGGCCCTGACGAACGGCTCACCATGGTCAATTTTGCTCACTTGCGCCGTGCCCTAACCTTCTTCGTCTTGCACATGGCCTTTTCTCCATTTGGCGGCGCCGCCCTGCCCAAGGTGCCTTGCCCCAGAGGACAGGGAGGGTGTGTGTCTCTCTCCCTCTCTCGATCCGAAGCTTGTCCTACGGGACATGTCAAGTCATGTCAGGCGTTGTCAAGCAGGCTTTGGAGCCTATCTAGCTCGGCAATTCATTTATACAACGCCTCTCATCATTTCCCAAATCGAAATCGATCGTCATCGAAACAGTGCCTCGGGGGAAGAGGAAGATGACCAAGAGTTTTCCCAACCCTTTCTGCCCGTGCCGTGCCCTCGGCTCCCACCATGTGAGGCAGGCCCTGTCCCCATGACGATGATCGCAAGCATGACTTCCAGGCCCTTTCCCAGCCGAAACAGAGGACCGACAGACGAGAGAACGGTCTCGACTCTGGAAATACTGGGTACAGCGGAGTGAGAGCCCAACGACCGTCTTCACGGCCAAATTGAGGTACATGTAGTTATTAGTGGACGACGTCAGTGACCAGCTCTGCCTCGAGTCCCACCCTCTTCACACCCAGCCAGCGCCTCGCACAAGGCCGAGCTCCATCTGAGCCTTACATGCAGGTACCGGACTGCCCCGAGTCGAGCAAATCAAGAGTGCAGGCTGGCCCCGCGGATGACCCAACCGGGCCCTCACCTGGATGGATGGTGTAGGTGTAGTAGCAGGACTGGGCGGTGGTGTGGTGCGCTGCGGTGCGGTACGGCGATTTGTCTCAGCTTGATCGCTACAGGGTCGCTGTCACCATCTGCCGTCCAGTGCCCTTGACTCATCCGAATGATGCCATGAAGTATTGAGCAGCGCCGAGAGGGAAAAAATAGCTGTGCGCACTTTGATCCATCATCGGCACAAATCGGCGAATGTGTACTGTACAGTACCGTGTAGCTCGGGTTGATAGTCAGAGCAGGGTCCGACGAGGTCACCCCATTCATTCATTGCTCGTGCGAATGCCACGCTGCCATCAGGGGAGCTTGGGACGCAAGCTGTCCCCTCTACCTAGCTGTCTGGCCCCTTAACTCCCCGTCCCCCCTTGGCCGCCGGCCTATGAGACACTGGTCATGTTCCATCGGCCAATCGAAGACGCCGTCTTCCTTCTCTCCATTACTTTCTTTTGATGGCCTGTCCGTTATTGTCTGTATGTCGCAGCTTCGCCCCCAGGATGCGATTTCCCCCCTGCCTGTCTACCCTGGACCTGGGGAAGGGGCCCAGCTCCCTCCCTTCATCCCGTCGTGTTGTGCCGTTGCTGCTACCCGCTGCTTCAGCTGTCATGCGACAGGTGAACAGAGAGGACAAGACGGCATACACCAGATGTCTGGAACATAGCCGACCTCGCTGCTTTGCCGAGAAGAGCATGTCACCGAACCGACGACATCAAGGAGAACAAGCATGACCCCTCGAGCTACATGTCAGTATTGACCTCAGAATGACAACAGGCGACGGGCTTCCCCTCCCGCTTAGGTACTCAACGAAGCCGAGAGGAGGGGCGTATATGAAAACAAGGACACAAAATTACCTCCTCCCCACAATCTGTCAAGACGACGACGAGTCCCACCCTGAAGCCGTCGATGGGTCCCTCTTCGCTGCCAACTTTGCCCAGACACAGGAGGACAACAGCGAAGCAGATGCGCACCGGCGAAAGGGTGTGGTGGGTGCCAGAAGCCAACGGCACCGGCAGATGTTGAGGGGGTCCTGCATGATCATGGCGTACAGCCTGTGGCTCATTGGCACATGTGCGTTGCTTCTGGCAGTTCCGGATCTTCCTCTCTCTCTCTCTCACACACACACAGCCCCTCTACCGCCCCCCTCCTCCTCCATTGGCCCCTACACCCCTCCCATGAGCAGGGATTCTGATGATGGGCCTCTACGCAATCGGGTCAATTGGATGCAACTGGGCAAAGGCCTTTCATTTTGCTTCCCTGAGGATGAAGGAAGAAAAAAAAAAAAACTCTGATCATAGCCAGGGTTCTGGCCGATCCTGCCCCATACCTCGTCAGGTACCGTACCGGACTTTGAGGTAAAGAGGTAGGCGGGTGCATCTGCGCAGAGAAAGCTCGACATCCAGGCTCCCGATTCTGGCTGGAGCTCATGCAGAGCTGATCATACAGTACGCCATGTTTTTGCTGACAATGCATGCAGTACAGAAAAGAATAAAGCTCTCCTCTCTTTCTCTCGCCCTCCCTTGTCCCATTGTCCCATGGTGTTAACACAGCATTGTAAATAAACAAAATAACAATGCGCACGGGAGACCTGGGGGCGAGCAAGCGAGCAAGCGAGCGAGCGGGTGGGCGGGTTGAGGGAGGCTTTCGCTGCGGTAAGAGATGGGGCTAACCCGGCTATGAACTGGGAACTGGGATGAGGCTGGCTCTCGGTGCGGAGGGGCGCTCCCCCTCTCACGACCCAAGTCCTAAGAACCCACTGGTTGTAACGGTGTCAGTCCGCTTCCGGCCGCAAGTAAACAAACGGGTGTTATGAAAGAGGGAGAAAAAGGTGACATGTGAGGCTTCATCGGACGGAGCTGACCATGGCGCAAGTTGTCTGATGGCGTCGCCAACCTTTTGCACTAAATCATCTCGGAGATGAAGAAAGAGGGGAAGCTCACGAGCGAGGGCAGAATTTGGGCACGCCAGAAGGACGAAAGGGAAAAAAACAAACGCCTTGGGTATCGTCATCGTGGTGGTGGTGGTGATGGTGGTGGTGGCAGTCCAGAGTCTGGATCTGGCTTACACAAGACAAGGGCTGGTTCTTGCAGGTAATACACATGCATGCGAAAAGGCAGATAGGCTGGCCAGAGTCATGCCCTGTCGTAGCCGGCAGACTATTGTCTGGAATCAGGCGACAATGACGTGCTCACTTTGACTCGAAGACCGGTCGATGCGAACGTTACTTCTCTGGCCTGCACAGTGAGGTACATGTAAAGGTAGGCAGATAGCGAGCAAGCAGCAGGCTTGCGTGCTCAGCTGGGTGGCTCGCTCCTCGAGAAGCAATCCATGTCGTTGGGAGCGAGGCTCTCCTTGGCCATCTGTCGGTACCACACACACACACACACGCCCTCAACGCCCCAACGGCGCAGAGTTGCATCAAAGCCCATTGGGGGGATACTCGAGATTGCGATGATGTACGGCAGCTTCTAGCTCCAGCATTGGTGCTCGCCGAGCTGCAACGGCTCCTCGTTGGCTGTTGGACCATTGGACCATTGGACTGTTGTGTCTCGTTTCGCGTCGCCGTCGCGTCGACCACGCGATCATTTCCCGCTGCTTCCCAACATTCGCAATCTGCCATGGTGTCTTCCCATGCGCTTCTGGCCCTCTTGTCCGCTGCGATTGTGCTGCTTTTTTACCTTTGCCATGAGGGCACTCTCTCGTCACCCTGCAGCACACCATCCAGAACCATGCCTGGGTTGCGCCAGCACGGACAAGGATGTCGGTCGGTGTTTCGCAGCTTCGCTCCAGATGCCCCCACCGCGGTATCGCCATGATCCTTGCACCTCCACCAGGGCGGTCCACCACCCCGTCGTGAGAAAACCGTGGGCCAGGCGGTCGTGGTGGAAGAGGTGTGTGCGTAACTCTCGATCCTCCTGTATCTGGGCTGCTGCGCGCTCTGGGTGGAAACGCGATGCACACCCCCTCCCCCCACCACACCCAGAGCCGGGTCAAGGTACTCACGGGAAAGGGAGGGAGCAAAACGAAGAAGAAGAGAGGAGGAGGAGGCAGAAAAGGTGGACAAGGACAAGCAACATCCAAGCTGCCACGCTCCCAGCCAGACAAAAAAAAAAGGCGTGGCCCACGACATTGGGATACCTACTTTAATCCATGGCCCCCAGCTTCCCTCTTACACTACCAGCTTCGCTCGTCATTTCTCATTCTTGCTTCCTCTCCGCAGTCCCCGAGATCACCTCTTCCCCAGGCCTCATAGTGCGGACCTCCGGTTGAAACATCCTACTGTCCTTCGCTTCAACTCTCCTTCGCTCACACTCGCTCACACTCGCTCCCTCGCTCACTCGCTCACGCCCAGCCACTCACACCACGCAGCTGGAGGCCTGGCATCCCGTCTTTTCCTCCACCTATACGTTATACCCACTACATTCGAGTCCTGGCCCAGTCGTCGACCAACCCAAGAGGAACAACTCAACACTTTCTTCCCATGTATACAGCTCTTGAGCCGTCCCCCAACAACACCAACACAAACCTTCACTTCGGAACCGCGAGGGCCTTCAGTCTCCGCCTCTACTTATCTACACCACCAACACCAAGGCGCCGCATCCCCCGGACTGGGACATACCTATAGCTTGTCTTGACTGACAAGTCGCCTCACTATTTGTACCTCCACACCACATTCATCTGTATTGCTTTGACAGCACACCCGCCACGATGAGCTTCCTTCGGGCTCTACCGCTGGTGATCGGTACCGTCGCCCTCCTTGCCACGGCCGCCATCTTGATCGTCCACATTGTGCTCGCCACGCACATCTCTCGCACATCCCCTGTCCAGGCCGCCGCTGGCGTGTCGGCGGCCTTGGAAGGTCTCGTGCTCATCATCCTAGCATGGTCGTACTCGAGGTACGTCTTCACCGCCCGGGCGGTTTCGTCACGGAGCCCGGTCGTCGTGTTCGGCATCAGCCTGGCGGCCTGTGTCGTCGCCACGGCCGCGTCGATAGCTGCCGTCGTTTGCTTGAGCAAGACGGCATCCGACCTCCCCCACTCTGTCATGGGTGCCGATCAGAACAACTTCCTCGTGGGATCCTCCACCGTCCTTGGTCTTTCCTTTGCCTGCCAAATCGTCTTTATCAGCCTCCACTTCGTCTGGACGCCCGTGCCGCACCACAGGGGCCGCCTGCACCACGCCGACGAGCCTCGCCGGTTGCCGCAGATGCACGTCAAGTCCATCCGTTACAGCCAAACGTCGCCGACGCCCATCTGCACCAGAGACACCATCTCCATGGACTCGAGGTCGCCGCCGCAGTCGAGCAGCGGCCGATCGGCGACGGAGACGATGAGCTCGTTCCGGTCGTGCCTGTCCCACGTCGTCCGACCAGTGACGTCCAAAACGCGCCTCTTGTCCACAAGAGAGAAATACCGGCACTCGACGGACTCGCACTCGATCCGCGAGGACAGCTTTGACTCCTGGGACACTTCAACCGTGGACCTCCACAACCGCATGACGGTGCTGGGCACCGCCTCGCTCGTCACACCCCCGCGTCTGCTCGAGACAATTCCGGCCAGCCCGACGACGAGCAGGAGCACCAGCCCCGGGGTTTCCCCTCGACCTTGGTGCCGCCGCCGCGGGTGCGGGGCAGGAGCAGGAGCTTCAGCCCGGCGAGGCGGCCCGCAGAGCAACTCGCCCGAGCTCGAGGGCCCGGGCGAGGCCAACATCCACCCCCCTCTTCCGCTCCGACTCGCCCCGTGCCGCCGCCTAACGTCACGCCCGGCACCGTCGTCGTCGCATCGCCCAATGCCGGCCAGGTCATCTCCGACCGGAAGAGCGTCCGCCGGATGCGAGGCAGCAGCCTCGCCAACGGCCAGTCGCCGCTCAGCCACCAGAGCAGCTTTGAGTTCCTGCCCTCGTCGTCGGTCAACGAGCAGGACGAGGTCGAGGAGCAGAGCGAAATCGAGTCGCCCAGCGAGCGCAAGATGACGCCGCCCATCCCCGAGTGGATCTTGACCGCTGGGTCCAGGTCAAGCCTCACCGGGTACCAGAGCCGCAAGCTCAGGATCTATGCCGACCCCGGCTGCTGAGCGCCCATGTGCATGTGCCCTGCCTGCCTCGAGGTGCAGCAGCGGCGAGACCTGTGATGGCTGGCTTCACCAGGCGGAAGAAGTTCCCGAGCCATTCGTTGGACGAAGGCTCATCGTCATGATACATGTTTCATTTTCTTTGTCAGGAAAGGAAGGGAGGGAAAGATGGCCTGAGGAACGGGCACTACTTAAAAGAGAGATACCATTTGTTATTTATGATTCAGCGAGGCGTTGAAAGAGGTGGGTCGAAATGGCGAGGTTAGAGAGGGAAGGAAAATCATGAGGTAGACGCTGGAAGCCTGCAAAACCTCTGAGAGGACACTCGGAGAGGACAACTCGGAGAGGGCAAAGAGGGCAAGAATAAATCAATGATATGACGCCGGTCCGAGGATTGGACATGGTTGTCCATGTTGTTTGTTACTTGTGTGCAGTGATGGTGTCAGGGAAAGGTCAGGATGCTTCACGTGCACCGCCACACCAAGGGAGGTAGGTACCTTAGGTACCTTACTGTACCTGCCTCCCTCGCACCGTTTAGGCAACCGGTGAGAAGGAAAGCCCCCAAACCCCACCTTCCCGCTCGAGGGACCGCTGGCTCCTTCTGCACCAGGACCAGTCGAGGGACCTCCAGTCCAGGTTGCCCTTCACTTCGTCATCTTCCCTCACCCACCTACCTGCCTTACCCGCATAAACAAACTTCTTCGCGCCTTGCCGGGAACAACCCCAACAACACCACCCTATATCCTGCATTGCAGACTGCTGGCCCTTCTCCGCCGTCCCAGCTTCACCTCGAGCCGACTCACCTCACATTCTCCCACCGACCTCTGTAGCTCCGAGCTGCACCCTGCCCCCTCGCCAAGATGAAGGTCACCTTTAAGGTATGGAAGCTATCCTCATCCCCGCCACCCGCCCCCAAAGCTCTCCCTCTGTCGCCGTCATGTCGACGCCGTTTGACCTGGTATGGAAAAGAAAACGAACGCTAACCCAACGTGCAGGACCTCAAGCAGAACAAGTTCACGCTTGACGTCGAACCCACCGACCTCGTACGTCCTCTTCCCCCCGCACACCGATCAAAATCAGAGCCGAAGCTGTACCCATCTCTGTTGACCCGACCAAAGCTAACCCCTTGCCTAGATCTCTACTGTGAAGCAAAGAATCTCAGAGGAGAAGGGATGGGATGCCAAGGAGCAGAAGCTTATCTACTCTGGTATGCGACCGCGGCTCGGCTCCCACGACGTGCTGCAACTTCCTTGCTGTGCAACTTTTGCGCTGACCTAATCCAGGCAAGATCCTAAAGGACGAGGAGACTGTTGAGTCGTACAAGATCGAGGAGAAGGGATTCGTCGTTTGCATGATCCAGAAGGTTGGCATCACTGCTTTTTCCATCCACGAAATCCCTGTTGGCTAACCATTGCGCAGCCCAAAGCCAAGCCTGCCGCACCTGCTGCCTCCTCATCCGCTGTGCCCTCGACCCCGGCGCAGCCTGTTGCCGCGACCCCAGCTGTTCCTGCCGCTCCTCAGGCTTCGACCCAGGCCGCCGTGCCTTCGACCCCGACCCCCGCCGCTAGGGTTGGCGCTGGTGGCGATGGCGCGCCCACTGACCCTTCGATGGCCATGGGCGCTCAGCGTGCCGAGGTTGTCGCTAACATGGAGGCCATGGGCTTTGAGCGCTCCCAGATCGACGCTGCCTTGCGCGCTGCGTTCTACAACCCCGACCGTGCTGTCGAATATCTACTGACGGTAAGTGCCGACCGGAGAACTTGAAGGATCAGGCACTGACTGCGAAACAGGGCATCCCCGAGGACGCTCAGCGCGAGCAGGAGCAGCGCCAGGCGCCGTCCGCGCCCGCCGCCGCTCCCGCCCAGCCTGCCGGTGGCGACAATGCAGGTGATGACGGCAACGTGAACCTCTTTGATCTTGCGGCTCAGCAGCGGGGTGGCAGTGGACGTGGCAGCGGTGGCCCTGGTGCTGGTGCCGCTGCTGCTGCAGGTGCCGGAGCTGGTGCTGCTGCTGGCATTGCCGCCGCCGCCGCTGCTCAAGGCGGAGGCTTTGGCAACCTGGACTTCCTGCGGAACAACGCGCAATTCCAGCAGCTTCGCCAGGTCGTTCAGCAGCAACCCCAGATGCTTGAGCCCATTCTCCAACAACTCGGTGCCGGCAACCCTCAGCTCGCGCAATTGATCGCTAACAACCCTGACCAATTCCTGAGTCTGCTCGGCGAGGATGTCGATGATGATGTGCCCCTGCCTCCCGGCGCCCAGGCGATTAGTGTCACCGAGGAGGAGCGGGATGCCATCGAGCGCGTATGTTTTCCCTTCAATTTATTACTATCAAGATGACCGACTGACTCGTCTCTAGCTTTGTCGTCTTGGCTTTGACCGCGACCAGGCCATTCAGGCTTACTTCGCCTGCGACAAGAACGAGGAGCTCGCGGCGAACTTCCTGTTCGACCAGCCCGAGGACGATGATGACAGACCACAGGGCAACTAAGCAAATGAAAATGTTGCCTTTTTTTTTCTCAACGAATGAATCATGATGGAAGAATGTCGTGACGGGGAAGCAAAAAGTCCCTCCGCGGGTCGTAGCTATAGGATACCTGGAGGAAAGGCTTTCAGCCATGTCAGCCCGGCTCCACACGGGGACGCTGTATATGCGGATGAGGAGGCTTTCCAGGCTTCAGCATGTTGGCCACAGAGGCATTGAAGTCGCCTTACGAGACATGAGAATACAGAGGATTTCAGTTCAACGACGAGAGCGCCCTGAGAATTGATCGCCCCAGGCGATGATCTCGTCCCCCAACGAGGGCCAAGGTCAATCTTGTAACAGCACTTGTTTGGCCTGTTAGCCAATATTACCATTGTGACGTTCGCGTGGAGCAAAACACGAGTGTGTGAACGGAGCTTCCCATTGCTTGACCCAAGTGTCTTCCGAGCCGTTGCTTCTAACGCCTTGCTACCGTCACTTCGGCTATGGGCCAGTTTATATCCCCCCGCGAGACCCAATAACCGAAGGAAGGGGTATCATTATCGATCCGTGTTGTTGCCCGTCCCCGTCCTGTCCCTGAACCCCATCGTTCATCAAACGCACCCCGAACCAAACGCCCGTTAATCGAACGAGCCCGTTTACGCCAGGCTTTCCTCGACAATCTCGCCGTACATGGCGAGGTCGTCCTTCTTCCTCTTCTTCTTGCCCTTCTTCTTCTTGCGGATCTCCTCCTCCTCGGCGGCCAAATCGGCGGCGGCGCCCTCCTCCTCGCCATCGGCCCAGAGCTTCCGGCGCTTCTCCTCCATGGCCGCCTTCTTCTCGTCCTCCTTGGCCTTTTGCGCGGCGTCAAACTCGGCCTTGGCCCTGCGCTGCTCGGCCATGATGGTCTCGGTGGGGACAAACTCCTCCTTGCGCTTGGTCCACTGCTTGTACTCTTGCAGGTCAATCTTGACCGTCTTCTCGCCGACGAGGACGGCGTGGATGCGCGTCGGGTTGAGGCGCTCCTCGCGGTTGAACTTCATCTTGACGTGGCGGCGCGTGCGGCCGGGGAACATGGCCGAGATCATCTGAAAGTCGGTGCCGAACATGCGGAGGCCGCGGTACAGGAGCTCCGTGTCCTCCTCGTTCCAAATGTTGGGGCCGCGAATCTTGGACGTCTTGGGCAGGAAGCTGTTGCTCGTGACGTGGTGGCTGAAGTCGTGCTCCTCCTGCTCCTCGCGCGTGATGCCCTCGGCCAGGTCGCGCTGCTCGGCGCGCGCGTGGGCGTCGACCTGGAGCGAGCGCTGGTCGAGCACAATCTGGCCGTCCACCTCGATGAACTGGGGCCCCAGCGAGTCGAGCTGCAACTGCGCGGGCGCCACCGGCACCGGCGCCGGCGTCGAGTCCTCCTTGTCGATGCCCGGCAACGGCGTGCCCGACGGTTCGGACGGGTCCATGCTGACACCCCGGCCGCTCTTGCTAAGCGCCCGCTGTTTCCTGGCCGCTGCAATCTTGGCCTGCTTTTCGCGCTCCCGCTGCAGGATCTCGTCGTAGCGCTTGAACTTTTTGCCGATGCGCAGGTCCACAGTAAGGTCCTTCAGAGTGAGCACGCTGGGATCCACGGTTTGCTGGTCTGCGTCGTCCGGCGTCGCTGATCGCTCTCGCCGCTTCCTGGGCGCGGGGGTCTCTGCGCCGGTGGCCTCCCCTTCGGCCCCCTCCGCCGACGGCTGTTTCCTCTTCCGAGGCTGCCGTGCTGCGGCTTCACCGTCTTGTGTTGCGCCCATCTTTCTTGTTGGGCGTCGCCTTTTCGGACCTGCGGCTTCGCCATCTGGGCTCGTCTCAGATTCAGCGGCCTCGCCGTTTTCGTCCTCCGTCGGAACAGCTGCGCGCTTGCCGGCTGCCTTCTTGGCGGGTGTCTGCTTCTTGCGTTTCGCAGACGTTGGTTCCGTCGAGGACTGATCGTCTTCTTCTGCTGGTGCAATCTCTATGGTCGGAATGGGTTGGGAGGCATCTGCCGCGGGGTGTTCTGTCGCACCCGCGCTTCCGGACTGACGCGTTGCGGCCGAGGGTGCCGAGGAAGAAACTTTCACAGCAGTGGTGGTGGCCTGCGAGGATTTGATCGAAGCCAATGAACTGCCGTTTTCTATTGGTATTGGTGTTGTACCGGTAGGTGTCGGGTCGGCTGTACTGTCCGCCGTTTTCGGGCTTGTCGACAAGGGCGCATTTTTATCGCTGGATTGTATAGGCGCATCATCTGAATGTCCAGGCTGTAGCACACGAGTTGTCGAGGGTGTAGCGCTCTGGGAGGCGTCCTGTTCTGTGGTGGGTGCGGGTGTTTGGGAGGTCGGAGGAGCGGGTGGTGTGTCGGCGAGGTGTCTGGCGGGTTGCGATGCGCCGGGGACGCGGGGCCTGGCCGTGGGCTTGAAGCCCTTGCCCGTCTTCTTCTTCATCATCGAACTCATTGTGGCGGTTGGCGATCACCAAAGCTAAGACGGTGATAGATGTGCGATGGTGGTGGGGAGTGGCGGGTCTCGTCGCCGCTGCTACATGGCAGATCCAGATGTGCAAGCGTGACAAGTGGATGCTGGTAAAAGAATGAAAAAACGCAATCAAAGTTCAGAGTGGCTGCATGAAAGGGGGGGAGTTGGAAAAAGACTGTTGAAGGGAGCCAGCCGATCCGGAATGCTTTGGGAGGTGGATAAAAAGATTTGGCTTCGGAAGGAGCAGCGATGCAGAAGCAGGAGCAGAAGCAATCAGTGGGGGAACGACCTAGACCAGCCAGGCTGCACCAAAGAACACGAAAAAACAGACCGAAGCTTAGCCGCCTGAACGCACCTGTGCGGGGTCCGACTACCGCACGTGCATCGATAAGATGACGAGGCTCGAAAAGGCTAGCGTCACGCTAACCCCCTTTCAGAGGGGGGACCGCGCTTCCTCTTGCTTCGAGTGAAGGCGTCGAACCTCGAAAATTCAACTCCTCTTGCCAGCGAGGCATCGTTCCCCCCTCAGCCTTTTCCACGACCGCGGCCAGCCCGATCCCATCACGACACTGTTCGGGGCCTCCAAAATCCTTCGGCACCCTTCGGACAGACGTCCGCGCTCGCTCTGTTGTCGATTCCTTGAGCCCCTTGGAGTCGCGTCCCAGCCTCTTTCTCACCCTTCCATGATTCGCCGCGCCTCGCGACTTCGCCCATGCCTGTAGCCATCAAGCCTGCCTCGCCCCGGCCGTCATCATTGACCAAGATGGAAGATCGAAAGCGACCAGCCATCAGCGGCGCTGATGACATTGCGCCTCCCAGCAAGCGTCATCAAAGCGTCAATGGCAACAAGTCGAAAGGCGATACCGGCGAGCAGTCAGAAGAACATTGGATTGAGGTAAGTTGTCACGAGACCGCTCCTCCCCTCTTTCCAACTATCTCCCTTTGGACGAGCCATGTCCCTGCGTAATACTTTGTCGCCGACTTGACTTTGGCTCTTTCCCCCCCACCCCCTTGGAAATACGCGATGGCACGCGACCGGGAGCTCGAAGTCTTTTTGGGATCCACCTGTCAGCAGCAGCCTTTGTGGCTTGTTCAACAGACTCACCGCTCCGTGGCCCTCCATCTCATCATCGACCTGCGACGGAAACTCGCTGCAAAGACGAAACGCTAATTCGGGCCGCAGAATTACCAAAAGGGAGCCATCTGGCGAGCCTTCCAGGAATCCAAGCGCGATAAGGCTGAGCTGGAAGGTCGCGTTGATAAGCTGCAAACTCATGTAGCCCATCGCGACGACCAAATAAGATTGATCGAAATATGGTGGGAACAGGTCAGTGTTGCGCCCATCTGCGATACCCTGTCATCGGCGCTGACCGTCCCCTTCAGGTGCTACAAGAAATGGAACTGCTCGTCAACCCGACACTGCCAGCGCCATCAGGACCAACAGGTTCGTCGTGCCAATAGCCCACTCCTCGATGGCCCTGTCTAACTTGATCGCAGAACCACCATACATCACAGGCACTACTTTTAAAGACAGCACGACTTTTCAGGAACATCTTAACGACAAGACCAAGACGCTGCGCGAGAGGGCTGAGGCTGTCATTAATCGGATCGCAACGTCGCGTGGACAAATCACGCCGAATATTGCCGATTTGGAGAACAGAGTGAATGCCCTGCTCGCACAGCAAAAAGATTATCTTGTTCAGCTCGATCGCTCTCAGCATGAGAACCAGCAGCTTTCAGAGGACCTTAACAAGAAGACTCTTGAATGGTTCAAAGCTGAGCGACGGGAAAAGAGGTTGAAGAGCGCACAAGTTCAAAAGCTGGAGAAGCAGTTTCTCGCCAACGCAACACAAGGGGGCACGGCCGGCGAGAACGGTGCTGAAGCTGCTGCCTTGAATGGCAACGCTGCCGAGACCTTGCTGAAGCTAGAGGAAGCATCGGCGGTCCTCGTCAAACAGAAGGAGCAACTAGAGACTGCACATACAGACCTTGCAGCGTTGCAGGAGGAGAACTCGACCCTGAAAACGCAACGTGAAGGCATGTCGGATGAGGACTACATTCGAACCGACGTCTTCAAGGCCTTCAAAGCGCAAAACGAGGACTTGATCAAGCGGATCAATCACCTAGAAGCGGCCAACAAGCAACTGCGAGAAGAGTCCGAAAGGTTGCAATTCGAACGACAGGCCTTCCGAAGTAAATTGAACGACGAGGCGCAAACACACATTGCCGACCTCGAGCGCCAGGTCGAGGAGCGCGAAGGAGATGTCACACGTCTCAGAGCCGCAAGGGACGAGTGGTTCGCAAAAGCTAGCATGCTGGAGGCGAGCCAGAAGGAGGAGAAGACGGCGCTGCAACACATTCAAGAGCTGGCAGGCGCAAAGGACGATCGCATCACAGCCCTTGAACTCGAGCTACAGCGAGTGAAACCCGACGAGGACAGACCTATGGCCGATGCCGACCCAGCCATCGACAGCCTTCCAGTGGAGGAACTGTTGACGAAATACCGGAAACTCCAGGCTGATCTCGAGTCGATCAACAAGGAATTGCCAGCGCTCCAACAAGCGTACAAGCGATCCATGACGCTGGCGCAAAAGAAGGTCATGGACTTTTCGGCCCTCGAGGATCGGGTTGCTGCGGTGCTAGCCGAGAAGCAAAAGGTTGACTCGAAGTATTTCGCTGTTCGCAAAGACGCCGATTTCCGGGACCGTGAACTGCTTGCGCTGCGAAACCAAAACAGAAAGACCTCGGAGATCGTCACACAGCTCAAGGAAGTGGAGGCTCAGCATAGAGTGTTGATCAGCAACTTGGAGAAGCAGCTGTCAGACCTTCGGATGGCGAATGCGAACCTGGCAGCCGAGCATAAGAAGATGGAGGCGAACAGTGTAGAGTCGATCAGGAGAGCCGATACGTACAAGGCTCAAGTCAACGAACTGGCGAACCAAATCAAGGCGAAAGACGCAGCCACTGCGAGCACAAGAGAGCGGACCACGTCACAGGAGTCAGAGCTCGAACGTCTCAGAGCAAGGGTCGAATTTATCAAGAAGGAGAAGGAGGACTGGAAGCGCAAGGCATTGAGCAACTCTTCTGAAGAAGAGGAGATGCTACGAGTACGTTTCGCCATGCCCCCTTTCTTCCATTGAAGAACATGCTAACCCAAGTCGCCAGTCGTATGCGCTTTGCTCAGTTTGCCGGAATAACTTCAAAGACACTGTCCTGAAGACGTGCGGTCACCTGTTCTGTATGTCCTGCATCGACGATCGCATCAGCAACCGCATGCGCAAGTGCCCAACCTGCGCCACATCCTTTGATCGCAAGGATTCGTTGTCTGTTCACCACTAGAAACGCACGAGGAACGAGACTCGCGAAAGCTCGTTGGCTCTTTTCTCTTTGTTCGATTGGATCCTGCATTAAACGGAAGGAACCGGGGGCGGGGTGGTAGCTTGTTCGCCAACCAACTCAAGGGTGTTTGGGTGTTCTGGGGTTTGGTGTTCCATGGATGATACCTTTTCTGGTCGCGCAAGAGCAAGGCCACTCACTCCACTACCGCGATTGGAAAGGGCTGGCTGTGTATTTCTACCTGTATCATATGTATCCGCGGATGTGCTCTCGAGGCGGCCTACGGACAGGTCCGGCGAGAGAGCGGATGCATTGTGATGGCGTCGCTGTTAGCAAGACGCGCATCGTTGTAGGAACATGGTTCCGACTAGACGTAGAATCGAGCAATACCAACCAGTGTTGCCATTTGCGTAAGCTATCTAGGACGGTGATGCCAGCTGACCAAGTCAGCACGATGAGGGGAACCAAGCAGCTTTATCTCCTGTTTGTGGACCCGAAGCCAGTGCTCTCATGCCTCGCCGATGAGCTGGACCCTGAAGAGGTCCTCGAGGGGCCGGCGCCCCAGCCGTAACCGTCGTTGGTGCCGTAGCCGTAGCCTCCACCGCCAAAGCCAGTCCTCCTATCGTTGCGGTTGTTGTTGTTGTTGTTGTTGTTGTTGTTCCTGCCGCCTGCCATGTACCCAGCCGCTGCACCACCAGCCAGTCCACTCCAGAAGCCCGGTCGCCAACCCTGGCCTTGCTGGTTGCTCGACGAGGGCTTCGCGCCAGGGTACGGTGGCGGGGGATCATCGTCATGGTTGAACGGCTGCCACCCGCCGCCACCGCCGCCCCAGCCTCCGCCCCATCCACCGCCAGGTCCTCCTCCACCACCACCACCACCACCCCAGCCGCGCCGCTGGCCGTCCACGCCGAGCCTCCTGTTCCGATCCTGCGCGACGCACGCCGAGTAGACGATCCACGCAAAGACGCCGACGAAGAGCACCATGAACAGCAAGCCCGGCAGCGCCGACGCGCCGGCCTCGCCGCGGCCCCATCCGCCGTTCCCGCCCGCGAGGTCAGGGTGGCGCCTCTCGCCCTCGTCGGTCAGGACGACGCGGTACTCGACGCCGCAGCTCCCCTTGAGGACGTAGGGGTCGTCGGCCGAGCTGTAGCCCTCGCACACGACGTCGGTGCTGCCGAGCTTGAGGTCGACGGGCAGGTTGGCGGCGCAGGACCACTGCACGTCCTCGGCGTCGTAGCCGGACCCCTGGTTCGTGCACCGCAGGACGTCGATCGGGTGCAGGGCGCAGAGCTTCGGGGCCGAGAGGCACTTGAGCTGCGGCACGGCGGGGAGGCGGCGGTGCGTCGTCTGGGCGCCGTCGCCGCGGAGCGTCAGCGTCTTGACCTGGGAGAGGAGGATGGCGTTCTTGGGCGGTTTGGCGGCTGCTGCGGCGGCGGGGAGGGAGAGGAGGAGGGGCAGGAGGAGGGCGGACGTGGCGTCGGAGCGCATGTTGAGGGTGTGTTTGATCGTGTGGTTCGAGATGATTTCCGATCGGTGCGTGTAGGCAATCGTCGTCGTCGTTGTCGTCAAGTCGCAAAATGCAAGCTGGGCTCAGTGCATGACGTATGCAGCGCCCTCGAAAGTATGTTCAAAAGCTGTACTTCGTGTTGTCGTCACAGGTCGAGGCTGTAGGATGTTGGCGGTTCAGATAGGTTTCTTCGAGAGAGGACAGATTGCCATCGGCCCTTAGCGTGGCAAAAGCCTGGAGGCGGGTGGAAGAGACGTCGGTACGTGTTGGTAGCTGAAGCCTAACCGAATAGCTTCACAAGCTTAATTCTGTCCAGGTAGGACTCCAGCTGGAGCTGGAGGCAAATCCGACTGTAGGTGGGGCCAACGCCACCTGAGCCAGATTTCGCCACGTGTCAGCCACAGCGCAATCTCGACGACGAAAGGTAAGAAATCTCGTCCCGACACACGCAGTGAAGGCGCCCATCCAATGTGCTTCATTGCTCCTGGTGTAGCCTGTGTCATGGAGGAACTACATGGTATGCAAATTTCATCCTCTTCTTCTGCGCAGAGATTTCGAAACTCCCGTCAATCTGCCTTGGACCAAAGCCTCGAGACAAGACCATTTCAGTTCGCTACCTTAGTGAGACCACGGCTTTTCCCAGACTCTGCTCAATGTCCGGATGAACGCCCCTCCCACCGAAGGCTGCTGAGCACAATCTCCCTAGCGTTCAGTTCACTTAGGACTTGGGATGGACCTCGTTATCGGCCACCACATTGGGAAATTCTGAGGGTCAACACTTAGGGACGGAGGTCCACTCCTTGTGCCATATGCATCGTGCATAGTGGACTACGACAGACGGAGACCCCAAGCCAAGCGAAAAGCTTGGCCTTCGCATTTGATGACCGGAGACATGCGACGCGACAAGGCAAAGATGGGGTTAGTCGGCGTTAGGATAGGGTTTCGACCTGGATCCGCGCCCAGCGAATGCGAGTCCGAGACGGGAGCTTTCAACAAACAGGCAGCTAAGGCGAAACGAATCCCAAAAAGTGCAAAAGCACGGGAAGGCAGGACCACATCATTGCGACACGACACACATGATCTTACTCGTAAGAGCCGTCGTACATGGTAGTTACGAGCTGTGCATCAGAAACAAAATCCACATACCCACGCACGCGTCGCCCCCTACCAAGGCACCAAGGTACCTACGAGGTAGCCGTGGGCAAATCTCCCCAGGCAGCAGCGACAGCAGCAGCACGAGGAGCAGCGCAACAGCAGGCCAGGCCATTCGGCAAGCCATTGCCGGAAGTGGTGCGCCGCGAACGGGGCGACTGACTTGTGCCAGTGGATTTAAGCGACGACAACTCGGAGTGAATCAGTGACGGCGCGTGGCCCCGCGGCGCATCGGTCAAGGTGTCCAATAGACTCAAACTCGGCGGGGTGGGCTTCGGGGCGTTGAAGTGCCCGAGGCGCGGTAAGACAATGCCCCCTTGGGTTGGGACCCTTCCCCCCTACGAACCCTTCCAAGGTAAGGTACCTAACCATTACCTTGATGCAATGGATCTTGATGCGATGGATCTTGCTGCAATGGGGGGACGCGAGTGATCCTGATGCATGTTGTCTGGGAGCCGCTACTTCCGTTGAGTCACTCAATGCTGTGCCGCAATGGTTGCCGATAGGATCTTTCGCCGATGATGACGGCCGCCGTATGGTCTGGCGATGATAACATGGCAGAGACAACAAAAGTGAGCTGACGCAATGCTAGACGAGACACCAGAGTGACATGTTGCCATACTTGAGGCGCAGGCTTGGTTTGGTGGTGGATGGTGGGTGTGGGTGGTGGGTGGTGGGTGTGGTAGGTGTCCTGAGCAGCTAAAAAATGCACAGCTGTGAGACCCTTTGAAGTGGAGGGGGCCTGATGCTGGCTACCAATCGCATCGGTGGAATCTTTCGGATTAGCCTGGGAACTTGTGTACATGTACATGTAATGTAGTACCTTCGGTACGTATCTGCTGTTGCTGACACGGCGAGGGAGTCAGACCGTGTGGAACGAGCTGGTCCCGGCCGCCCCTGCCCTCTCCGGCCGAGTCCCATCTTGTACCCCCGGTTCGGGCGTAAACGAGGGAACCGCTACCAAGAGGGCGCTGCTTTTCCAGAAGGAAGCACCAACGTGCAACCACAAGACGCTGTGCATCTGGACCGGGGATAATCAGCCCCGCCACAAAGTGGACGGAACATCGGCAAGATCCCTTGCCGTTGACCCAGCCCAAATTCCACCTGCAGCAGCAGCGAGCTATTACATGGTAGTTGCCTCGGTTGCTACAAGTACAACAACAATCTCATCCCACCAACAAAGATCCCTGTGGTCCTCTGTCCAGCTTCAAAGCACTTTTCCTTCCTTTTGCATCGACTGTTGGTTCTCTTTTAGGACAATTTGCAGATGACTGACCAGTTTTCTGCTACGAACACCAGACTGCGACGAAGACGATAACAACACCAGCTACGACAGCCCGGCACAACGACATAGGAGGTCCCGCTTTGGGTGAAGCAACCTCTGATCGCATTCTTCCCCGATGCGCCAAACGTGAGGCTGAGACATCACCACGCGAGAACAGTGCAACCCGTTTGCAATCACCAAAACCTCCTATAGCAGAAGCTTCTGGTGACTCGACGCCGTTGGGAATAGTTTCCTCCAGTTGAACCTTCCCCCAAGCTGCGCGAGTCTGCGAGGCTCTCCCAGCTCTCCCAGCTCTTACCATGCCCACCCCACTACCAGAAAAGCCCGTCGCGAGCGGCACCGCTTCCTCGCAAGGGGACTCGACGGAGATAGAAGCCCATTCCCACACCAACGAGAAGGCTGCTACCGACAAGATTGACCTCGAGAAAGCCGACAGCAAGATTGCGACCCCGCCCAAGGCCGCATCCCAAGAAGATCCCTTCAAACACCTGCCCGATGACGAGGCAGCCGTGTTGAAGCGCCAGATCATCACCCCCGAAGTCAAGGCGGGCGTGGCGGCGCTCTACAGGTACTCCTCGACCAACGACATCATCATCATTGTCATCTCCACCCTCTGTGCCATTGCTGCAGGTGCCGCACTGCCGCTCATGACGGTCATCTTCGGCAATCTGCAGAATGTTTTCCAGGACTACTTCGTTTACCGGAGTATGTCCTATGACGACTTTACGGATGAGCTTGCCAAGCTGGTCTTGTACTTTGTTTATCTGGCCATCGGCGAATTCGTTGTCAGCTACATCTCGACCGTCGGCTTCATCTACACGGGTGAGCACATCAGTGCCCAGATTCGCATTCACTATCTCGAGAGCTGTATGCGCCAGAACATTGGCTTCTTCGACAACCTCGGCTCCGGAGAGGTCACAACGCGCATCACGGCCGACACCAACCTGATCCAGGACGGCATGTCTGAGAAGGTTTCGCTGACCATTGCCGCACTCGCCACATTCATCGCTGCCTTCGTTATCGGCTTCATCTTCTACTGGAAGCTGACTCTTATCCTCTTCTCGACCGTCGTCGCCCTCGTCCTCGTCATGGGCAGTGGATCGACGTTCATCATGAAGTTCAACAAACAGTCCATTGACTCGTACGCCCAGGGTGGCAGCTTGGCCGACGAGGTCATCAGCTCCATCCGAAATGCCATCGCCTTTGGCACCCAGGACCGCCTGGCCAAGCAGTACGATGTTCATCTCGTCAAGGCCGAGTTTTTCGGCTTCAGAGTCAAGGGAGCCATTGGCTGCATGGTCGCAGGCATGATGTGCATCTTGTACCTCAACTACGGCTTGGCCTTCTGGATGGGAAGTACCTACATCCTGAGCGGCGAGGTGGACCTTCGAGCTGTCTTGATTATCATGATGTCGGTCATGATCGGTGCGTTCAATCTTGGCAACGTTGCACCCAATATCCAAGCATTCTCCACAGCTGTCGCTGCGGCCGCCAAGATTTACAACACCATCGACCGTGTGTCACCCCTGGACCCTTCTCTTGACACCGGCGACAAGCTCGAGAAGCTGGAGGGCACTATCACACTGAAGGGCATCAAGCACATCTACCCTTCGCGGCCCGAGGTCGTCGTCATGCAGGATGTTTCCTTGACTATTCCCGCCGGCAAGACGACTGCCTTGGTCGGCGCCTCGGGTTCTGGTAAGAGTACAATTGTTGGACTTGTCGAGCGCTTCTACGATCCTGTCCAGGGATCCGTCTACCTGGACGGACATGATATCACCAAGCTCAACCTTCGATGGCTTCGCCAGCAGATGGCCCTTGTTAGCCAGGAACCAACGTTGTTCGGCACGACCATCTTCCACAACATTCGTCATGGCCTCATTGGTACCCAGCATGAGAACGAGTCTGAAGAAAAGCTGCGTGAGCTCGTCATCGGAGCTGCAAAGAAGGCCAATGCCCACGATTTCATCACCAGCCTTCCCGAGGGATACGAGACAAATGTCGGCGAGCGCGGTTTCCTGTTGTCTGGCGGCCAGAAGCAGCGTATTGCCATCGCTCGTGCCATTGTCTCTGACCCCAAGAGTAAGTTACTTCTGCCAGTCTGCACGCCTTTCGGAAGCCCCTCAGAACTGACAATATGATGTAGTTCTTCTGCTTGACGAAGCCACCTCGGCCCTCGACACCAAGTCGGAGGGCGTTGTACAAGCCGCCCTCGAGGTCGCCGCCGAAGGTCGCACGACGATTACCATTGCCCATCGTCTTTCAACAATCCGTGACGCTCACAATATTGTTGTCATGTCCGAGGGTCGCATTGTCGAGCAGGGAACTCACGACGAGCTTCTTGAACTGAACGCTGCCTACTACAACCTCGTCACCGCCCAGAACATTGCCGCCGTGAACGAGATGACCCCCGAGGAGGCGGCAGCCATCGACGAAAAGGATGAGCAGCTGATACGTCAAGCTTCCCGATCCAAGGAAGGCTACGTGCATGATCCGCAAGACGACATCAACCTCAACCGCACCACCACCACCAAGTCAGCTTCCAGTGTTGCTCTCCAGGGCAAGCAGCCCGAACTGGAGAAGAAGTATGGTCTCTGGACACTGATCAAGCTCATTGGCTCCTTCAACAAAAAGGAGGTGCACTTCATGCTGATTGGATTGATCTTTTCCATCATCTGTGGTGGTGGCAACCCAACGACAGCCGTATTCTTTGCCAAGCAGATTGTCACGCTCATCGTGCCTGTGACGGATCAGAATCGCGATCAGATCAAGTCCGACTCGGATTTCTGGAGTCTCATGTATCTGATGCTTGCTCTGGTTCAGCTCCTCGCGTTTGCGACTCAAGGGATCCTGTTCGCCAAGTGCTCGGAGCGACTCGTCCACCGGGTCAGAGACCGCGCTTTCCGCACCATGCTGCGCCAGGATGTTGCCTTCTTTGACAAGGACGAGAACACGGCCGGCGCACTGACGTCTTTCTTGTCGACCGAGACCACGCACGTGGCAGGACTGAGCGGTGTCACACTAGGTACCCTGCTCATGGTCACCACTACGCTTGTCGCGGCGTTGGCGCTGTCTATTGCCATCGGCTGGAAACTCGCCCTCGTATGCGCGGCAACGATTCCACTCCTGATCGGATGTGGCTTCTTCCGTTTCTGGATCCTCGCACACTTCCAACGCCGGTCCAAGGCTGCGTATTCCTCTTCGGCGAGCTTCGCCTCCGAGGCCATCTCGGCCATCCGTACCGTTGCGTCCCTCACCCGCGAGCAGGATGTCCTCGACATGTACAAGAAGTCGCTGGCCGAGCAGCAGCGACGCAGTCTGCGATCCGTCCTCAAGTCGAGTTCACTCTACGCTGGCTCTCAGTCTCTGACGTTCCTTGCTTTCGCCCTCGGTTTCTGGTACGGTGGCACACTCATCGCCAGCCGCGAATACAATATGTTCCAGTTCTTCGTCTGCTTTTCCGCCATCATCTTCGGTGCGCAGTCGGCTGGTTCCATTTTCTCTTTCGCGCCCGACATGGGCAAGGCGCATCAGGCGGCGGGCGAGCTGAAGACACTCTTTGACCGCAAGCCGACCATTGACACTTGGTCCACGGAAGGCGAGTCGCTCGAGTCGGTCGACGGCACGCTCGAGTTCCGCGATGTGCACTTCCGCTACCCGACGAGGCCGGAGCAGCCCGTGCTGCGCGGTCTGAACCTCACCGTACGCCCTGGCCAATACATCGCGCTCGTTGGCGCTTCGGGCTGCGGCAAGTCGACGACGATTGCGCTTCTCGAGCGATTCTACGACCCGTTGGCAGGTGGCATTTATATTGACGGCAAGGAGATTAGCACGCTCAACGTAAACAATTACCGGTCCTTCATCGCGCTCGTCAGTCAAGAGCCTACACTGTACCAGGGCTCCATTCGCGAGAACATCCTGCTCGGCACTCCCCACGAGGCCACGGATGAGGCCATTGAGTTTGCATGCCGTGAGGCCAACATCTACGACTTCATCGTGTCTTTGCCCGACGGCTTCAACACAGTCGTCGGCAGCAAGGGTGCCCTCCTGTCGGGTGGACAGAAGCAGCGCATTGCCATTGCACGTGCATTGATCCGAGACCCGAAGATCCTGCTGCTAGACGAGGCGACGTCCGCGTTGGACTCGGAGTCGGAGCACGTTGTGCAGGCAGCCCTCGACAAGGCGGCCAAGGGACGGACGACGATTGCCGTCGCGCACAGGCTGAGCACTATCCAAAAGGCGGATGTGATTTATGTATTCGATCAGGGACGGATCGTAGAGCAGGGTACACACACGGAGCTCATGCGGGCGAACGGCCGGTACGCCGAGCTGGTCAACCTGCAGAGCCTGGAGAAGCATACATAAAAGTGTAGAGAGGCGAGAGAGGCATCGTTGTTTTACTTTTTCCTGATATCCGGCCTCTGGAGGTCATATACGGAACTCCACGGGCAGGAGTTCCGTCATACATGCGGCGTTGGATGGCATATCCTGTGTTGATGCTTTGAGCATTATAGTGTAGTGTAATCGGCTGCGGCCGGGGAGGACGCACACCCCTCTCGTCCTTTCTGTTACCATACGCCCAAGGGGTGATGAAGAACTCCAATTTTTTTTCTCTTTTAAAGATTCTCTCCGGCGCGTGCTATTTTGAATTGTCATGGGAACGTATAGTCATTGTGATACGTTGCCGTGCGGGATATGTTTCCCGGATGAGGCTACGGCTCCAAATATGAGGGTTCAGAGCGTCAGTGACGGCCACGACTCTATTTGGCACGTGCGAATAAAAGAAGAAGTGCGTAGAGCAAGGCACTCGAGACATGCATTTTCGCCCGACTGCAACGCGAGCAACCTCTCATCCCCGCGACGGCGCGAGGCCCTGAAGGCAGCACACGAGACGGAAAGCGATACCGTGTTTTCTCGGGTCCTTTGCTCCTTGCTCTGCACCGGCCCCGTGGTGGAGAACGCCCGTGCGGCTTGGGGCAATGCAGAGCGAGTGAGCCCTCGTGGCGAGATTACCTTTGGGGTAGGCAGTCGGCGATACCACGCCGCGCGGCGGGACGGACGCAAGGGGAAAACAAGGTGAAACATGCAAGGGGGATGGATGTGCGCGCGGGGACGACGGCGGGTCCGCTCGGTGGTACGAGGGAGACGGGACTAGAGAGAGAGAGTGTGTGTGAAGGAGATCATGACGGTGCCGGGGCGGGATCGGAGGTTTCTGTTGAGGTTCGGCGGTCGAGGGACGGTTGCACGGCGCTGCATCGCTGTTGAATGAGCTGAGGTGTTGTGTAAGCTAGAGAGGTATGTGTGAAGTGATTGATACTTGGCTTTTATTAGAGCTGTCATTGAGACATGGAGGCGGTCGATGGCAGAAGAAACATTAGTAAAAAAAAAAAAAAAAAAGAAACTCGAACAAGGCTTGAGAGCAATGGCAAAACGAATGATTCGAAGATCATGAGCTGGGGTGAGCCGGGATCGAACCAGCGACCTTTAGATTGACTTCCTGAAGTTGACTTCAGTCTAACGCGCTCCCAACTGCGCCATCCCCCCTGGTGATGACATGTCGTCAGTCATGTGGGCCTATACATCAAATTCTGAGGACTTTACAAGGACATTAGGTCCAAGCAAGAAATTGCTGTGCCTACTACTTCCTACTCCTTCGCAAGGCCTGTAGTCTTCAGATACCACCCAGTCGATTCCCGAAGCCATCCATTGATGATACAATGCCATGCCTCGCAAAGCAAGCAAAGACGCATGCCGAGTAAGCGGCGGTCATGTCCTACACGAGCAACCCGGCAATGTACATGACTACTGCGCCCCGAAACGTGGGCCGAGGCAAGCGACCTACATGTTAAAGGACCGGGCCAAAAACCCGGGGAAAGGGGGTCCGCTGCGAGAGCCGCCTCTACGCTCCCAGAATAACTCATTTCAGTCATGAGAAACCCACTCCGAGAATTCATGCCCGATCATTACTTCTACTCTGGGATCGCGGCCGATGCCAGGGCCCTGTGAACACGAACGGCAGGACTCTTCGATGAATGCGACTGGACGGTTCGAGGGCTCGGGGGACCGTGTCCCCTCCCGGCACACGAACACGCCAAGAGACCTATACGGGTTCTCCGCGCCCTCGAGATGAGGACTTCAACGAGCGCAGAGAATGAAAGCCCTACAGGGCTCGGCATCGAGCATGTCCTTCGCTATAAGAAGCCGAAGGAGAGCGTCATGATGTAGAACAGGTCGTTGACTCGACCACGCCTCACCTCCTTGTCTCAAGGTTGATCTGCTCGCACCCCTCGTATCGCGCTAGCAGCCTCGCCAAGATGCTCTCCCGATCGATCGCCGCTCTTCTTTCCCTGACGGCAGCCGCCTCGGCGAGCGTCATTCCTCGTGCCAACAGCACCTGCGCGGACCCCGTCGTCCGCAAAGAGTGGCGCGAGCTCACCGGCGCCGAAAAGGCCGAGTACCTCCGCGCCGCTGTCTGCCTCCGCAACCTCCCCAAGGCTAAGTACGAGTTTGTCGACGCCGTGACGACGCGCATGGACGACCTCGTCTTCACCCACTTTAGCCTCAACACGGACATCCACTTTGTGGCCAACTTTCTCCCATGGCACCGCTGGTACGTGCAGCTGCACGAGGACCTGCTGCGCACCGAGTGCGGCTTCGCCGGCGCGCAGCCGTACTGGGACTGGAGCATTGACGGCGACGCCGTGAACACGCCCAACTCGCCCGTCTTTGACGCCGAGACGGGCTTCGGCGGCAACGGCGTGCGCACGGGGAGCACCGAGCCCGGCTTCGAGCGCTGCGTCGTCGACGGGCCCTTTGCCCACACGAACCTGACCCTCGCCATGGGCTGGCCCAACATGAACGACCCAGGCGACCGGCCGCACTGCTTCACGCGCGAGTTCAACAATGCCTCGGGCAGGGACGAGAACGGCGAGATGATCATTGGCGACATGCAGGCTGCTGCCTACAACTCCAAAGTCATGAACACCATCTATGGCTTTGACACGTACGCCGCCATGAGCAACATGCTCGAGGGGCTGCCGCACGCGCAGAGTACGTTCTTCTTCGTCAACCACCTTGCCTTCTTTTCTGCTGATACTGACTTGGCACGCAGTCCACAGCATCATCTTTGGTGACATGGGTCCCGCGACCTCGCCCAACGAGCCGCTCTTCTTCCTGCACCACGCCAACGTCGACCGTGCCTGGGCCAAGGTACGTTCTCCCCCACCCTCCCTGACTGTCAACCTCGTCTTTGCTTGCCATGGTGCAGTTGCTGACGTCCGCTGTAGTGGCAGGGCCGTAACGCCACGCGTCTGGCGGATTACGCCGGCTTCAACGACCCCAACAGGGTCATCTCGGCCTCTTTGGACGACACGATGCCGGTCATGCGGCTTGCCGACGAGGAGCCCATTGTGCGCGACTTCATGGATACCCAGGCCGGGCCCCTGTGCTACACGTACTCGGCATCAACGTAATCTCTCGTGAAAGAGGCTCCTGAGCTTGATGGACGCGATGTGACGGTGAGACGGTGTATGATGTATACCCATGACGAGGTAGCTGTTGAAATAACTGTTGAAACATCCACAAAGGAGGCTGATGTTAGAGTTGCCCCTGATGGCATGGCGGGGCAGATCTCTGCCTTGATTTTTCACGGCTTCTTCCACGATAGAGTTTTTGTTTTACGAGGGCTGGCATTTTTTTTCTTGACAGGTATCACAAACCTGGTGCACCCATCCGAGCAACTCGCATACCCATTTCGCCTGCTTTCAGGAACGGCCGCCGTGTCCCTGTCTCGTGGACCAGTGATCGTTCACCGATGAAGCGCAATGTCCCGAGTCTTCACATGTCCTCGTAGGCGCATGTCCTGACAGGAACGAGCGCCAAAGACATGCTGCCAAAATAAGCTGATAGGTCTGAAGGATGGATGGCCTTATTAGCCTGATCCTTGAGCTGAACAGCAGGCACGCGGGGCCAAGAACGGCTGCTTGCATTGTGAGATTGTTCCTCGAGATGATTCGAAGGGAAGTGCTTGGGCTTGGCAGCCGCTGCGGCACGACGGGCTTGTCAGTCTACACAGTAAGACACTGCATCCCCACCGGATGATATGATATGATATGAGGCGCGCGCCGTGGCCCATGGCAAAACAAAGATTGAAGCAGCGGCTGGCAGGCCACATGACTAGACTCCTTTGACGGAGATGACCATTGGATATCGGGGCTGCGCAGGGCCGCGGCAGCACGGTAGCGCTGATGGGGACACCTCGGATGATGATGGTCGTTTCCCGACACATGAATCGCGATTGGGTTGGAGCTCTGGCGCACTCCCTCGCGTCAGTTCTTCGGAGAAATATCATAGATCGGCTAGTGAGACAAAAGCAGCGAAGAAGAAAACGAGTGAGCACGGCCTGGACAAGTCGAACGCTGGCCGTCGGACCAGGTCAGGAACAAAGAATTGAGTTGGCGCCAAGTTTTGTGTGGTCGTAACTGGTGGCGCCGATGCGGGAGTCCAGTGCGTGTGCCTGGCTAGCAGAGAGTACCAAGTAGTGTCGTCCATATTCGTACATGGTAGGTAAGTGAGAAGTACTGTAGTACAACGTGAGATCCACGTGTCATCGGTCGAGGACGTTTTTGTTCTGGTCAGTGGTTGGCTCATGAGGATCGCGCCGGCGGCAGGCTCTGCTGTGGTTGATGATTTGGTTGGATCCTCTTGCGCGTGCCCTCATCTTGGGTGAATGGAGGCTAAAGATGGGATGAGAGCAGGTTGGATAGGTACAGGTAGGATCGAGTTGGGTGGCACACAAAGTTTTCTGGGGGTGGCTGCCAATGGCCAACATTTCACAGTCTTCCTTGACATGTCCTTCGTGACCCTGTGCTCCCTTTTCGTTCTGTCATTTGACATGGTTCGTGGCTGCATCGACAGGATCGTGGGATGACCGGATACAATCTTTGGCGGCGGTGGCGGCGGCGGCGAAGGATGCTGGCATGTGGCCCTACTGATGTATGTTTTCTATAATGTGTCCAGATCAAGCTCGTGATGGGTGTCAAACCCTGAACACGATGAACAAAGTTCAATCTCCATGCAGCGGGAAGGGAAGGCAAGGGGGACGGGATGGAAACACCAGGAAGGGACGACGGCATTGCATTACTGGTTTGTATATTTTCCCATTGGCCCTCGCAGCGGGCCCTCTCCTCCGCTCAGGGGGGGGGGAGGCAGGTGCTGTACAAGTACTTGCTGGCAGGTGCTGTACATGTAGGCTGTGGCTACCGTCCAGGCAGGTAGCCGTACCTACCCATCTACAGGTACAAGGTACTGTAGGTGTCTAGCAGGTGTGACCCACCCTCCACCTACGCCCGCCTACGCCCTGCCTGTGCCCACGGCGCCTGTCTAATTTCCCCCTCTTCCCACATCTTCCTTCAAGCTTCCACCATCATGCCCCAATTGAGCCTCGACTCGAATCCATCATCGCCTGCGACCAGCCCGTCCGGATTAGGCACACTATCCTCGTCCATCGTTCCATCGAGGCCTCGCTTCGCCTTTTTCTCTTTCGCCGGCATGGTCATGGCCATCCATCTTCGGATCATTGTCGCGGTACCAGGCACGGTCGGAACGCACGGCGACGGGGATGTGGGCATTGAGCGCGAACAAACACGAAGAAACAGGCACAACGACCGTGAGCCTCCCTGCCACCCCTTGCTCTTCCCCGGGTGCCTAGTGGCACGTCCCTGTTTCCTCGCTCCAAGCTCAGGAGTTCGTTCCAAGCTGCCAAAAGAGAATACGATGTCCCTGATGAGGTCCACCGACACTACCTGACTTCGCCTGACTACTGCTTCCTGCCTGGGTGCACCACCGCAAGCACCAGCACACTCTTCACAACGCTCACCTGAAGGGCCATCCATGGTCATACCCACTTGTCCGGCCGGCTGGCTTCAGGGCAACCTGATCGACCACCCCCAATGCTACCAGGACCAGGAGTCAGCGAGCCATCGTCCGGCGCACGTCCTCCGCTGGCTCAATGCCTCGGGCAGGCAGCCAGGCACGCTTTCCGCCTCTTGTTCACATCGTTCACATGCGGTGCAGACATGTACATTACTGTACAGTGATCAATGGCGAATTCTACGGCCGAATCATCAGACCACCGGCGGTCCAATCCACCTACTACCACCAACAGAATCAATTTTCTGCTGCAATGTACTGTACCGGCAAAGCCACGAGCCAATCTGATTCTCTGCGCGAATCAAGAGCCATATCCGCCAGCATGAACCAGCAGATCCAACTGGATCATCCTAATGCGGGACGTCATCTGGACCATCTCCCGCCGATACCCAGACTACCGGTCATGCCCAAGTCGACCTATCCTGGTCCGCTGCCCTCCTGTCGCTGGTCCAGGCCCTCCCAATATTGGTTCCTTAGCCTACTGCTTTTGCCCCTCGTACTCGACCACTTACGTACCACCACCAGTGGCCCCGGAGGCGCATCCGTCTGCATGAGCAATCAATCGCCAGCTGGATGACTTGCTGATTGCCTTTGCGCTTGTGCAAACCAGCTGCCCAACTGGGCGCCTCCATGCAGCCGCCACCCCAATTCGGCAGACATTCGGGCCTTGCTTTGTGTACCCTCAGCCCCTGCCAGCATAGAGTGGCCGGCCAAAAGACTTTGCAGGGACCACTTGGAATTTCTCGCACAACGCTTCGTCGAAAAGGAGGCTCACGAACCACTACCACTATATTCCCTCCCCTCGCCTTCACCAAACGCTGCCATGTCCAATGTTCCGTGCTCAGCGTTCGATCGACCGGAATCAAGCCCCCAAAACCTGCTAGCACATCTCGGCTCTGGACCCCTTTCGCCAACACCACGCCGGAATCGCGTGCCACCGCGTGGCTTGTCAAATCGCTCGCGCCTGGGAACCCCTGATACCTGGCAGGGATCCCTAGTTCGCAACGAGTCTGCAGAATCCACCGTGTAGAGTTAGCCCCACCTCAAGCCAGGCCCGCCCACTCGCCAGGCCTCGTCCGGCTCTATCATGTCCAAGCACTTTTCCTGACCCCTTCACGGCACGACGCTCACACCCAAGCAGGGCCCCTGGTCCCCATTGCCCACCATCCTGGATGCTACCACGCCGCCGACTGCGCCTGTTCACCCGCCTGCTCGCTTTGGCCAAGCCAATATTGCTGCCCCCCGTCGCTGCCGCAGAGTCCACCGTTCTCTCTTCATAACCAAGTTGTGCCCCCCGGCCACCTGCTCCCTTCTCACGCCAAAGAGCCTCAGAGGTTTCTTCGCTTGCCTTTGCCTCCCGAATACAGCTTCCCCCCAGGTCTCTGCAACGCCGACAATCCGATTCGGAGGCTAAGACGAAGAGCGAACACTTCGCAGTTCGCTCTACCGACAGAAACGACGCAGCCCGAGCACCAGTCACCAACTCACTCGCTTGTTGGTCTGGCTCGGTTCGGCTCTCTCGATCCTGTCTCACTCGCCAACCCACTTGGGACTCGATCGACATTCCTCCACCAACGTCACCTGGTCATTCGCCCGCAAGCTCGTCAAAAACCGACTTCCATTGATTTCTGGTCGACGACGCGCCTCACGACCGACTTCTTCTTGATTGAGAGAGGTCAGCGAAGGGGTTCCTTCTGGTCACAAGAGCACGCATGCAGAGTCGCCACGCATCTCGGGGGCTGTCAATCCACCAACCTTTTCCTGCAGGCCGATCAACCAACTTCAACAAGAACCACCGACGATCTTGGTGGGGTCGGTCCAAGAAGGTCACGGAGTCACTCAACCCCTCCGAGGCAACAGGCCTGGGACCTGACTCTTCCCCTCTTGATGGATGATATGCTCTTGGTGTTTCCACCACAAATCGTCTGAGCCTTCCATCAATAGCCATGTTCTCGTCGACGCCGACTTGCCCGGCAGCACGTAGTCCTCCCGCTTCGAGCATGTCGTGGGCGTCGCGCTTCCTGCTCGTGACGCTTTGCCTGGCATCAAGTGTGTTGGGCGCCGCTGTCCCCTTCGAGGATACGCTGCCAGCACTTACACCTAGACAGCAGGGCGTGGGAGCGCCCTACGGGTCTGCCATGGCATCAGGGGATGCGGACTTGAGGAAACGGCAAGAGGACGAGGACGAAAGCACAACAACAATACGACGAGGAACGCCGACAATCACAACGGCGTCCGAGAGGACCACCACTGCTAGTACTGCCCGTCTCTCCATAACACCACCAAGCACCAGCACAGACGTGCCCGCCGCGCTCCCGTCACCGTTCGACAGCAGCATGGCCTCTACGTTCACCAACACTGACAACGCCGCCTGCCCAAATTTCATTAATGCTCTCCTTTCTAATTCCGACTTTAAGAGATGTTATCCCATCTCTATGCTGCTTTTGGTAAGACCATTCTCTGCGCCAACCCCTCGTCCCTCAGCACTAACCTGGATGCAGAGCTCTAATGGGTTCTTCGAGGCGAGCAAGAGTCTTGTCAACATTGTCCGCGTCCTTGACGCCGGTTGTGAGGTCGACTTTGACTTTTGCAAGGCCTATCTTGGCTCCGTAGCCGAGCAGCTCATTAAGGACGAGAACTGTGGGCCCGACTACAAAAAGGGACACGCCGTTGTTCGCGATGCCTACATGGGCCTCACAACCTACGAGACGGTCTACAAAGCGACATGCCTGCAGAACAAAGACGACGCCATGTACTGCTATGCTACCGCCACCACATTCAGTGACGCTTCTAATATCTACCCATACCACCTGCCATTCAACCTGACGTTTCCCGGCAGTGCCACGCCCGAGTGCAGCTGGTGCTTGTCTGAGACGATGAGGATTTTCCACGCCCAGGCCGCTGATCGCCGGAAACTCATCTCTTTGACGTACGAGAGTGCTGCACGCCAGATCAATACTGTGTGCGGCCCTGAGTTTGTCAACGAGACTCTCCCTGAGGCGGTGACGGGCAGCTTAGCGGGTGTCTTCCTGCCACCCTGGGCTGTCGGCGTCGTTGCCCTATCACTGGGTCTGATACACAACTTGCTGTAAAGCATGTCTGTCCCCTTCGGATGGGTAGCATGGCGTCTTTGGGTTTCTTGGGTGGCATGATTTCACGTCGGTCTTTTTTTCAACTTTTTCCCACACACAGCAAGCGCTTTGATACCCTTATACTTTCCTATAATTCCTCTTCTTCAGCCCCATTTTTACAAACATACTTGGGTTCGACGAGCCATCTTCTCTACAAGGGCCACTTTCCCGATCATTCTAATCATTATTATTACTTGTTTTTTCCGCGAGCATGGCGCTGGGAGGGCGCCAGGGGTTGGGAGGAAGAACGGCAGAAGAATATAGATGCGTGGGAGAATAGAGCCTCGGCATGAGGGATGCCCCCAGCTGCAGGGCATGAGCGACGGCCTGGACAGGGGTATAGCGGCGACGAAGCATAGCACCACAATGCGTTGTACGCCCCAGTACAAAGACAATAGCCCTCCGGGGTACAAAAATGAATAGGTCCTGTACCTTATCTACACTACCTAAAACGTCTTGATCGTTCCCTGTTCCAAGCATGCCAGATATGCCCACTATTGTACAGCGTGCGTTTTGGTGCAGCACATCCGGCCCAGGGGGCTATGCTCAATGTTTGATTAGGGTCCCTCGACGTCATTTCATGTGAAGGATGTCCTGCCGAGGTTTAATCGTTGCCTACTCATTGCGGCCCTGGCGTCGTGACCATGGCGAGCCCGGATATGAAAGCTGCGAGGGTGGATGGTCCCTCAATACAACGGCAGTCTAGATTAACCAGCTCCAATATGCCTTTCACAGCACCATAATCAAGTGGAATGAACGTGAGACGAAAATAGAGCCATCTCATCAATCATGGCGTACAAGTCTATAGCGTCTTGCTTGCCGAAAAGTACGCTCCAGTGTCTAACGCATCTCGTCTGCGCTCGCAACATCGGTGTCTCTCCGCCGTGCCATCTTCCCAGTCCGTCCGTTTCTGTTCGTATCCAGCCCTGAGTGTGTCTGTGTGTACGCCGGCTTGGTAGTCCCAGGGCGTTCTTGCTGTTGTCTTCGCTGCGCTCTGTGCCTCGATATTCGGTTTGTTGTTGGCAAGTCTGTAGCCGTCCATGACAGGTGGTCAAATGTTTTGGAGAAGGGGCCAAACCAAGAACAGTCGTTTTCAGAACTGGCGGGGCAGTTCCCTTGGTGGATGTCGTATGGGATCACAAATGAAAATAGGCCCGGGCCGTCTACAAGATTGTCCGAGACTCATTATATACACTGCCCTATGATATACTATGCCGTGTCTTGCGGGACCTTCTCCAGTCAGTTTCGAGTCAGGGTTCTCCGTAGTTCTCGATCATTGAATTGAAAAAGCGGTGGTATCGGCGGCACAGTCTGGGGAGAATCTGTGGAAGTTCCAATGGCCGATGAGTGCTCGAACCCGTAGCGGACTGAGTCTCTTGCCGTGATCTGTGACGTGATGCACCTCAAGTTCAGAGATAGGGAGTATAAATTACAAATGGCGGGGCGTTGCCCCCTCGAATACGAAGTATATATCTCCGAGCTGCCTCTCGTTAGTAGACGGCATCATAGCATGTAATGGTATGGTCGAGATCTTTTCGACCAAGGTCACAACCCATTGAGATTGGTCACAGGTGCCCACAATCTAAGCATGTAATTTTTGTATTCAATGTGATGGTGCAAGCCTGCCTACTGAGCGAAGTATACAATCAAAACCTTGGGACTCTGTACCATCCATCACGAACGATGAAAGAAGTTTGAGTACCATGTGGCATGACCGGAAACAAGGGTCCTCAGGAGGTCAGTGATGTTTCTTATGAGCTTTATGTTTGTGTGCGTGGCAGTGAGCTGCTAGGTTCCCCAGAACCACTGACTGCTTTGTATTTGAGGAAATTCGCCAGATGGAACCAGAGCATATGCATGTCATTGATATTGTGTTGAAGGTCTCAACTTTTAATTCATGGAGACGAATTTCGCTCTTGATAAGTACAAGCTAGACTGAGATGAACGTATGAGCACCCCAGAAAGATCAAGAGACCAAGACCAGTGAGACTTACGAGCAGTTCAAGGCGTCCAGGTTCAGAGGTTCTGGACGGAACGACCGATAAGGCTGCCTGTGAAAAGAACGTCACCCTCCACGGGTGGGTAAGTCAGCTTCGCTTGGTTTCTAGTGCACCACGATACCTGTCAGAAGGCACCTGCGGGACCTAGGGACAGAGTTACTCAAGAGCTTGAGACCAAGAGAGCATATATATCAAAGCTTCGGAGAGTTCTTCTAGCTACAGAGGGCCGGGTTTTATATGTGTTTTGATGGCTTACCCAAGACTAGCTATGATATCGCTTGCTGAAGACCTCTTCATTCTGTTCGTCCAACCGTTCTGATTAAAACTACCATTGGCTTTTCGTCATCTTCTATTAGCACCTAACTTCTAACAATTAACATAAATCATAGAGTCATTAGTCGAGACTTTTTCAACGTAGACAATAAAGTCAGCATGCTAGGCTATTCACTACTACTTAGAGTCACTTAGTTCTATTTAGGAGATAGAGTTTCAATAGTTGCCTACCGTCCCGTACGAAAATACTAGAATAGAGCCGAAGGTTTGGCTTGGAGACTTTTGAACTGTCTTCCAAAAGAAAAGCCCAGGGCCTGCGTTTACAGCGTACAGTGAGATATCTTGTTGAAAGGTTAACGAATAGCATGCTAACCAGGCCACTGGGCTTGGACACAATGGCAGCAGACAGCCAGAGATGTTCAATCCGAAAAAGATAAGGTAGGATTACACATTTATTCCACATAGTCCTAACGGTTCTCATAGTTCTCATAGTGCAAATTATTATCTCAGTGTCAGAGCGTTAGTTAGAATAGAGTGAAGAGATATAGTCCGCAGTAGATAGAAGATAGGTAGAGGGTCGGAATATATCTGAATTCTAGCCCTCTATAGCTTAGAGGGCCCTCTATAGCCTATATATATATATATTTCTTATAGCCCATAGCCTCTTACCGGCCCCCCTGCTGGCGACTCCGCAGGGAACCCGCAGGGTCGCCTAACACTCAGCACCACGGGCACTCCATGCCAATGGCACATCGTAACTACATGTTCACCCATGCGGTTGATGACGCCTGGAGTACATGAGAACTATCGAACGCGAGTCAGCCACGCTGCATGCTTTATATGCGATAGGAGGCCCGGGGTGGTATGGACAATAACACAGCCAGTACATCAATTGAAGCCCAGGGCGCGTTGAGTTCTGACTGGAGAGGTCTACAACAAAGCCAAGCTGGAGAAACTTCTACCATGATCCAGGCCATATGAGGTTACCTTGACACCTTATTGTCACACTTGGCATCCTGTCGGCCATAAGCAAAACACCTACTGGGGCGAAGAAGGTGATAAGACGGTCATATGGTAAAGTTCAGGACTTTGCCGTGCCTCAAAGCCGTTATCTCGTGACCAAACGTGTCTCGGCCTAACCATTCTTGCCAAGTACTCAGGTCAAGGGCAAATGCCAAACGAAAAGAGAAAAGAAAGACGATCTCGCCAAGAAGAACTTTGGACGGCGATCAATGCTCTGACCGATAGGAGGAGCCCTTCTCAGAAGCGCCATGCCACGTCGTCCACGTCGAGCGACTGCAACCAAACATCAGTCAATAGACATGTACATGCTACTCGTCGTCACAAAAAGCCGACGCAGTCAAAGTTGAAACACACCGTCACCATGAGTCTGATCAAACCCGGTCACTGGTAGACAGACTACCAGACAGGCCGATCACTCTCCGAGCCAAGACCTTTCATGCAGTATGGAACCAGAAACACCCCCAAGCCGGGTCCCGACTAGCCCCAACCCTCCCAAGTATGACCAAGCCAAGTGGCCTGTTGAAGGCTATAGCACCAAGTTTCCGTCTTTCGTGGTCCGGCGACCCAGCCTTGAAAATCCGACGTGACGCGCAAATGTCCAGACCGGGTCTCGACTTTTGGTCACTCCCACCTCACGCCGATGCTACGCAAACAAATCTGATATTCTTTTCCCCTATCCCCCCACCCCGCGGAAACGCTCCATTCATTGCTCGGCTGCTGATTCCCCTCTCCTCATGACCGGAAAGTCTTAACCGGACATTCAGCTCAGGAAACGCAGCCTCAAAACGCTAGACCGGCGCACGACAGGCAGCATGCAGCAGCGGCCGCGGGCACCCCAACCATGGGTACCTAGGTAGGGTGTCATGCAGTACCAACAGTTGTGTGGCGGCGTTGTTGTAACCTCCGTGGCCTTGGCTCCGTATGCTTACCAGATGCTGACTACTCACGCGCAGTGTGGGCTGCAGCGTGCTGAATGAGCGAGAAAAAGACCATTCCCTCTACTTCTTGGTCAAGCAACCATGGTACTTGTAATTTTCTGTCAATTGTTACCCGGGAACTGGATCCTCAACAACAGGAAGTTCCGGGGTTCAGTCACTCAGCAGCCTCCGGTTGGCCAATAATCAGCTGTACATCACATGTGGGATGATTCCACATTTTGACACATGTTGTGCAACCCAAGAAAAAGAACGCTCCGCGCCATGAGGAAAGGAGGGGTCACAGCCCTCCATGCGAGGCCTTGACACGTACAATATCATCTCATTATGACTGTAGCAGCAACAAAGCTGGCCTATGCTGCCCCGGGACGAATGTACAACAAGGCCGCATGACTGTATGAGACCACTTTACGAATAACCTTTAGCTTCCTGCAGCCAGATTAATCAGATGGGCTCATCCCTCGGCTCAATGAGCACCTCATTGACCGCCACATGCGGAGGCTGACAGACAGCAAAAACAATCGACGACGCAACATCCTCCGCATCCAACACCTTGGCGCCCGTTGGCTCGCCATACTTCTTAATGGCTTCGGCGTCAGTCGACATGCCTAGCAGCTCAGTGGCTGTGTTGCCGGGCTGGATGGACGTGACGCGAAGTCCGGTGCCCGCAGTCTCAAGTCGCAGACTCTGCAACGTAGCTTCGACGAAGAACTTGCTGGCCGAGTAGACT